AAAAAATTTTGAAAATTTCATAATAAAATATTTAAAATTTCCAGCTTCAGCCGTTTCCAGCTTCAGCCGCAACAATATTTGAGTTACATCTGGATTTCTTTCACATACGGAAATATAGCAATACAATCAATTCAATAGTTATTTAATTTATATTTCGTATTTCTATTCTTAATTCAATTTCCCTTTCCTACACAACTACTTATTTTGAAAATGATGGATGAAAATTTCTTGGAATTTCAAGGAAATACTCCTGTACGGAGGTGCTACATATCAATATCATTAAATAGTTGTAAGGTCTTACTATAAACGGTAAAACAGTCGATACAATCTAGTTCACGTGAAAAAAGTCATCATACGGTAATTATTATTCTAATTGTCTGGGTTTATAAGAAACAAATACAGTATTTGTTAATTGCAAAAGAGCTAGGACTAATTTTATATAGTAATAAACAATTTTTTTGCTAAAAATGGGAGGATAGTATATTAATTCAGATAAATCCAGAATTAAAAGCTTAAAAGCATTACAAATAAATTGATAAATTTAATATGAAAATTATAAAAATATTTATTCAATCGCTTTTAATTTCACCAATTTCTTCAATTTTAATACTTCCTCCAAACCTTTCCTTGTATTTTTTATTTTGTTCAACTACATAATTTAATTCAGCAAAGAAATCCGTATCTAAATAATATTTTCTTAGCGCAGATTCTAATACAAAAAGTCTATCTTCAATAGTGGCATCTTTAGGTAAATGACGTGGATTGTCGGCAAAAGGTATTCCAGCTTTAGAAACATAGTGTGCAGCCATTATCATTTCATACTTTTTGCGCATGCTCCAACAACACAAATATTTTTGTGTGAGACCCCTGTAGTTAAAGCAAAAGGTAGTATAGATTAATTTTGATTACACAAAGGTTTGTTATATAGATAATAAAACGATAATAGCATCCCAACCAAGGAGAAATCTTTGGACTTCCGAATAGTAATGTGTATACCCCAATAGCAGCGCCATAAAAACCACCCAAGGATGAAATAACAAATAAAACTGAAAAAGTAAAATAGATTTTGTTGGATAAATAATATTGTATAACTATGTTAAAAAATTGCAATAAAATTGAAAATTATATTTACTAGTATAGTCAAAAGTTTCTTCTTCATTATATATGGTACTATTCTTTAGTTTCAATAGTAAAACAGTATATGGAGAATTGTCAGCTATTTGAAGTTCTTTGATTTTAGTGTCAACAAAAGCTTCTTTAATGGTAGGTTCAAATCCAAATCCTTTCAGCCCTATGAAAAAATATTTTCGGAAAATATGGAAAAACATGGATGCTGAATATGGAAACATACGTAAAAATATGTAAAAAATACGTAAAATGTACACTTTCCGTGTTTTTTTGAACAGGAAAACACTGTATTTTGAAACACGGAAAATGCCATTCCGTGTTTTAGAAAACACGGAAAATACAGGGTGTTTTCCTGTCCAAAAACACGGAAAGTGTACATTTTACGTATTTTTTACGTATTTTTACGTATGTTTCCGTGTTCAGCTTCCATGTTTTTCCGAAAATATTTTTTCATAGGGCAGGAAAAGAGTTTTGTATGTTGATCGTGTCCCGATAGAAAACTCTAGCATAACCAACTTTCCCTTGTTAAATGGGTGAATGTTGAAAGTTATATTGTTCTGAATTGTCTTATTGTTACTATCAATTATATAGACATGATTAAACATAATCGAAAAATAATCAGAAGCTAAACTAGCAGGAGGTGATATATCGGAAGTTATGTTAAAAATAATATAGTTTAAGCCAAGGTTACAATTTTTTAGTGAACCAACTATACAATTATTATCAACACCATTACACTCTTGATTTGATTTATTCCGGAATGGTGAAAAAGTCCAACAACTAGTAATATTGTTTGAAATTATATAATCATTGCATGATGTAAGATTTGTGGAACTAGTGAAATTATAACACATAATATTAGCAATATTGAGACGTGATCCATAAGGATTATAAAATTCAGTAGAGCTATTATAAAATCCGGTGGAAGTATTATAAAATTCATTAAAGTTAATATTTGAATCTATATTTTTAAGTATAAAGAATGTTAGTATTTTATTTTATTTAATAATTTATTATAAATGAAATATACATACATGTGCGGCATAAAGAAAAAGCTAGTGTTAATCATATAATACATATTAATCTTTAACATCAATCTGATACTTAAAAAGATGAAATGAAGCGGGAACAAAATTTAAGTGGATTTAAAATTATTAAATTTAGGTAGAATTACTTTATTTAAACTTAATTCTTAACCTAGAATAATAAATACTAATACCACCCACTTAAATTTTGTTCTAATCAAACGTACATACCTGGAAAGATGATATCAGTTTCTTCTAAATAATAAGCCAAATTTAATTTTGTCAACTTTTCATGTTGTTTATAAACAAGTAAATAAAAAAAAAGAAGAAATGAAGCAACAATTATAAACATAAATATTGCTCTTAATAACATGAAAACACTTGGTTCATTTCGACGAAAATGATCGAAAGAAAACATTTTCCTAATTAAAAAAATTTAAAAGGAACCGATCGTTCGCAATAAAAGTGACTTGAATAAATATTTGGACAAAGGGCTGCAACATGAATATAATAAGTAGATACTCCTTTGAAAGTCGAAGATCACGCGGCACAACTAAATCTAGAATTTTCTTCACAGCCATATTTATTATCGTTATGCTTAACTTTGATTATCCGTAAGGCTTTTAATCAATTTCCATATATATGAACGTAAACGTATTTGGGGCGTCGTAAGGGGAAAGAAATCGTATTTCGGCTTTTAAGATAAGTAGACTGAGCGCTAATATTTAAAAACCCGAAATGTGGCTTTCCCTTGGCACCCATAGGAGTGTCAAGTAGGGTTCCGCATACCATGGACTGGTCCAGGGCTTAGTCCAAAATTTTTGACCATGGATAATTGAGTTCAGATCCAAAAACCCATGGATAGTCCATAGAAAATCTGATTGGCCAAAATTATGGATGTCATCATTGTTTTCCTGATCTTATGATGTCAAAAATACGAATCCAAACTTAATTTAAAACTAAGCTGTTTACAATTTGTGCTATTTGGATCCATGGATTGTATCATATGGTCATTGGCTGGGCTTGGATCTATTCAATTAAATATGGGCTGGATCTGGATTTTGAAATACCCGGCCCATGCGTAACCCTAGTGTCAAGTGAAAACCAGGAAGTTTAAATATAGAATAAAATTAATTTTATATATAAATATATAGACTTCCTAATTTTCATTTTGAGGTTCTCATGTCATTAATTACAAAATTTTTATTTTTGCAGTTAATTTCAATTTGAATTCAACATGAAAAAAATTTATTATAAGGTAACTATCAATTATGAAAAAAAGACGAAGGATAGTTATTCACTTAAGGAATTACTTAAAAAACTTCCTAAGAGATCTCCTAAGAAACCTCCTAAAACATCTTCTGCAATTAATTCCATATCTAAATTTCTTAACCTAATTCGAAATGTTAAAACTTTAATCGTAGCATATATTTGGAGGTTTATAATAGCTGTTTCATTTCTTTTATATGCATATGTATATGCAAGTTCTAAGATTGAGACAATAGCTACATTAGTTATTGACATTGTTATCGCCCATATTTCTATTAACGCATCATTAAGAATGGCCGTAAGTATCATCCTTTGATCAACTTTAATTGGATTATATGCATAAAATTATTATTAAATGGATGCTTTTATACTTTTTTTTTTTTTTTAGTTAGAACTTCACGATCGGGTTATTCATATTATCATTCTTTTCATTGTTACTATTCTCGCTAGCTGCTCTTTTTATATTCCAATTTTATTATTAATTTTAAGTCGAAATCAAACGGAAGAACGAATACATTTATTTATATTTTTTGTCATCCTTATACTTGATATTATAATCTGCTCATTTGCGCTTAAATCACGTATTGATAGTAGACATAAAACTCATAAAACTGATAATGAAAAAATTGACAATGATCAGGATAAGTTAGTTATTAAAAATTATCACACTTCTATCACGATTATAAAACCAGAAAACGATTTAAAAAGTAAGTTGAGCTTATTGATTGCTTAATATTATATATAGTAATAATTATTGAGTTTCGAATTTGCTTGTTATAGATGCATACGCTTATTATAAGGTATCATTGTATTGTGCCCATCTTACGTTAGTTATATATTGTCTCTTTACCACCAAATGGTGCCTTTTGACAATTAGTAAGGTTGATCCAACTATGCTTTATGATATCATTCCTTGGTCATTGCTACTTCCACTATGCACTTTCCTTACAATATTTATAGGAGTGAGTAATATTGTATACTTAATTACATATGTTTCCGATTTTTTTATATTATACCAATATAATTTTACATTTTATATATTTTATATTTTAAGGCTCGAACATTATTGAATAATGCAATAATTTTAGATTGTATCATTCATATATTACAAATACTATACATATTACATCAATTATTATGTTTACCCATTTCGTCTATAAAATGTAATAAATTTGCATTATCTCGAACCGCCCAAGAAGGATTTGAAATTTTACAAAATTTTGGATTGCAAATTTTAAGTCAGTCAACATTTTTTTTTTTTTTATATAAACAATTTACATAAAATTTAAATTTTAATTCATTTAAACAGTTGTAATAGATGTAATGTCATTATTTATTACGGTAATTGTATTAATGATATTGATTTATTGGTGGATAGTGGCTTTTCATCGTTTGGATAAAAGTTCAAAAGATTCGATAGAAAGCTTGAAAGAACTTAAATGGCATCGTAAGTTTTGGTTTTAACGTTAATTATAAAATTGTTATCTAAAATTGATATATTTTTTATAGTTGATTATGTTCCTGCCGCTGAGTTTGAATACGAAGATTGTGAAGATATGTATGGAAATAATCTCGAGAAAGATCTTGAGGAACACGCTAAAAAGAGTCCATTTTTAATGTACATTCCCGATTTAAAGACTTAGTAAATTTAACTTAGTCTTATTCTAATTTAACCCAGAAATATATTACTATTAGTATAGTGTTCTTTTTATAACGTAGCACCAATACTATGTTATGTAAATGTTCCATTTAACTTAATTTTTCATTTAACGTTAAGGACTAAGCCGATATGGTGAAACTCATAATATAAATTACAAACCTTTAAAACACTTATTAGTGACAATCGGGCCTTATAATAGCCGGGCGTAAGAACGTGCCCTGGTACGTACGTACGTACATACTAAATGAAGTTACAGCTATAAAGTTCCACCGCCCTTTTTCTGGGTTAGATTACAACGTTTCACGACATTTTACATTGGTTATATACGGGAGGCAAAATCCGATTTTCTTGCCGTTATGCCAAATTCATAATCCTTTCCAAATGATAATGTTACCAAATGAATGTTTTTTCGAAATATTTAATAATTTCCGAACTGATTATACAAGCTTATTTTCATGCCTTCTCGTAAACCGTCGATGGTGCAGAATCATTATACCAATATTATGGAGTGAACCTACAAATTATTTTGATGATAGAAAACTTATAAGAATATATCTTTTAGCACTAAATACTGAAGAGCAAGCTTTATTGATCCCTTTTAAAATTAATCTTCCAAATTATCCAAGACCATTATTTAAGTACGAAAGTTATATTACATCTGTTAATTCTCATTTGGATGATGGGATCAAAAATTGGCTTAAAAATGAAAATTATAATGTAAATGTAAATGATTTCGGAATAGATAAACTTGTAAATGCTATCAAATTCTCTTTAGTTGCAATGTTTCTGCGAGCAAGTAAAAATCTTAAACAGTTAGCACTCAGCTTTTTAATACAAAACAATGCTATTATTAAAACAACGTTAGTAGGCGCGCTTTGCAAGACTACTACACTGTCTACTTTGAAACGTCAAAATAATAATCTTAGATCAGAAGAAGGAAAAGCATTAGCAGATGCACTTTGCAAGAACACCACACTGAAAAATTTGGATCTCAATTCGAATAAACTTGGTTCAGACGTTGGAAGAGAATTGGCGGGTGCTCTTTGTAAGAACACCACACTGAAGAATTTGAATCTTTATAATAATGAGCTTGGATCAAAAGGAGGAAAAGCATTAATAGATGTACTTTGCAAAAACTCCACGCTTACTTCTTTGGATTTTGGTTACAATAATATTGGATCAGTCATAAAAGAACCATTATTATATGCATTCTATAAGAATAACACGTTAATTTATCTGGGTCTTAGTGGGAATAATCTTGGATCAGAAGAAGGAAAAGCATTAGCAGATGCACTTTGCAAGAACGCTTCGCTGAAACATTTGAATCTTGGTTATAATCATCTCGGATCAGAAGGTGGGAAAGCATTAGCGGATGCACTTTGCAAGAATACAACGCTGACTTTTTTAAAACTTAGTTCGAATAATCTTAAATCCGGAGGAAAAGCATTAGCAGATGCACTCTGTAAGAATAACACGCTGACTTCTTTGGATCTTTATTCAAATAATCTTGGGTCAGAAGAAGGAAAGCCATTGGCAAATGCACTTTGCATGAACAATACTCTAACTTATTTGAATATTTGGAAAAATAATCTTGGGCCAGAAGGAGGAAAAGCATTAGCAAATGGACTTTGCAAGAACAGCACATTGAAAGAATTGTATATTTGGGATAATAATATTGATTTTACTATAAAATCTAATAATGCATATATTGAAATATACCAAAAAAAATAATTTGGTATAAATGTCAATGCATATAAATATACAGTAATTGTAAATTATGTGACCTAATATAAAATATAGCATTCATTAATAAAGATAAAATTTAAAGCATTAAATGAATATTTTTAGTTTAAAATAATCATCGCAGGGTGTTATACAAATATTCATCGCAATTATATTTTGATAAGTAATTTAATTAAAAATAATTCAGTAAGACAACTATTTAATGAACCAAAATATCATAAAATAAGCTGGCATTAGGGTTGTTAATAGGTCAGATTCGTTAGATTAGCCCAATACTTTAACATTTTATTTTGGGTTGTTCTATAGCTGCCCGGGAATACATGCCGTAAATACTTAAGGGCCTACGAAAATCCCGTCTCAAATCCAGCTCCAAGTCCCAAACACGCATAATAAACTAGATCCCCAATCCGAAATCTAAAAGTTTTTTGTAAGCAAGCATAGCTCGGGTTACTATAAGTTGACCCATTTTTTGAACCTACAACTATTTGAATTGGGTTTCACACCGAATGCTCGAGAATATACTGAATATTAATAACCTAGTCGACATTAATAAATTTTGCAAAGACAACTCAAATCTCACTAAGCACTTGTTGCCTATTGATAGCTTTATTATATTTAATGTCAGCTTATCTTTGATAAAGTTCAATTAGTTCGCGACTTCAGACAAATCGATAAATAGTGACAAAAGACAGTATACAATTAAAGTTTATACAATGTGATTATATAGTAATGGTACGTATGTGCCCAACTGTGTGATTATATGGGAGGATGACTGTGTTAATAAAGCAATAAAACAATACATTAAAACAAAATTTTTATAAAGTATAAAAATACAATCATTAAAATTTATATAACTTTAATGTTTAATCTATTAAATTATTTATCCAAATCCAAGAACTTCCACAACCGGTACCAATTTTTTTAATTATATGCTTATTTGATAAATTAATTTTTACTGGCGTCCATTGATCAATATTATTACCTATGCCACAATTTCCATGTTCGTTCCATCCCCAAGAAAAACACTCATTGGATGTCGATATAACCAAAGAATGTTCTGATCCGCAAGTACAACTTTGAATTTTTGAAGATTTAGGAAATAAAACATATTGTGGAAGATAATATAATGGAACAGGATTATGAGTATAGCCACTTTCATTTTCTTTAATTTCTTTATTTTCATTTGGATCATTTATTTCTGCATTTACTTTTCCTAATTGTCCATGATCATTTCTACCCCACATTAAAACTTTATTATCATCACAAAGAACCATAGAAGTATTCCAACCACATGATATGTTAATAACCTTGCTAGGAAGATTTGTTACCTGTTTCGGAATCATACAATTTTGAATTTTTAATGGTGAAGCATATCCTAGTTGACCATACTTATTGAGTCCAAATGTATATACTTGTCCTGTACAAGTTAAAACAAGTGTATGATGTTGTCCACATGCAATATCTTCAATTTTTTCTTCAATTCCAATTAAGATTTTAATTGGTTTAAAGTAACATTCGTCTTTTTTTGCTGTCTTAATTTTTTCTGATAATTCACTTATATTTAATTTTTCTTGCACTAATTCTTTTGCATTATAATGCTCAGAATCTTTTTGTGATGGCCCTAGTTGCCCATATTTATTGCTTCCCCACCCAAAACAGATTCCATCATTAGTTAATCCAATACAATGTCGCAATCCACAAACAACTTTTTTGATTTCTTGCAAATTTTCTATTTGTAATATTTGATTGTTTGATGATTTTATCAAATTGCCGCATCCTAACTCTCCATGCAATCCTTTCCCGAATGTATAAACTAATCCATGCTTTTGTGCAATAGCAACTGTGAAAGCCCATCCACATGCAACATATTTCCATTTAATTTCCATTTTGTTTTCTGGATCCTTTAATATTACTTTATGATAGATAGTTGCTAATGAAATTTGCTTTTGGGTGGCGGTTGTGACTATATTAGAATTTAGTGAGCCACATTGGCCATCACTATTCAATCCGCTCATCCATAATTCCCCGTTGTGAGTTATAAAGGCGGAATGATTTCCTCCACCACTAATAATTATAGGTGGAAACTCATTATTCAAAATTAAGTCTCTGACTTGGTTTAATGAAGAAAATAAACATTCTGTTGGAACATTTACATCAATATTTGTGCCAATACCAAGTTGACCATGTCCGTTTGAACCAAATGCTAATAGTTGATCATTTTTTATCGACATGATTGTTGAAGCAAATAATAAACGTATATTTATCAATAATATAACCAGTGCCGGCAAATAGAACAATAGGTCAAAAGCTTAATTTTTTTTATCTTCAATAAAGAAAAAATTTTATTAATAATTTATAATTATTTGTTAGAACATTAGTAATGTTATAAATTTAAAATATTTTTATATTTAATTAATAAAGTTTAATACTAAAATTTACAAACGTTGTAAACGAAGTATATCGATATGGTTATTATAAGTCTATGAGCAACCAATGAAATTCAAGGATCGACAACCAATCAGACGAATGCTGTTATTTTCGTGACGAGTTCTTCATAACAAGATAAATTTATCAATATTTAAAGAATAGCTATTCAATTTCGTTGTAAGAGCATTGATGAAGGCGTCAACATCCACACGAAGGACCCTAAAAGCGACGACCAAAACAATTCCAACAGCTGGAACGCGTCTCGCAACTGCTAATCCTTCCTTAGCAAAACAGACCATCAACAGCAATTTAAAAACCCTAAATAAAATTTTGCATGAACGCTCAAATATTACAAATAAGCGCGTATTAAGCGACTCCAATATCCAAAACATTGATGATAAAAATGCAACATCTCATTCAAATGTCCAAACTTTGATTAACGCGACTCTTTCGGCTATTGGTGAATTAGAGAAAATGGAAGCAAAGTTGAATCTTAGAGAATTAGACCTCGAAAAGGCATATTCAAATTTAATAAAGAGCATGATAGACTTTGGTTTGGTAGCCTTATTTTCTTCATTTGGACCGTTGTTTTGTGAATCAAAGTTCGTCTCAATTCTTTAATGTATTTTTTTTTTAATAACCTTAGTACAGAGAAGCCATTCAATCTTTATTAAAGCTTCGAACGCGTCTTTTGAATTATCTTGGAGTAAGCAATGGATCGACAAATCCAAGTAGAAGCTCTGATGTCCTTCATAATATGGCACGCCCACAAATGAAAAATAAAATTGGCAAACCAAAGCATATTAATAGTTCGGATTGCCTATTTAATTTATTTTCTTTTCATGCTCTCAATAATAGCAAAAATTTAAATAATGAGGCAAAGTTACTGGTTTTATCGAGCTTAGTATATGCATATCGGTGCTCTATAGAGCTTGAAGAAATACAGTTTATCAAGGTATTTGTAATTACAGTGATTATTGAACAGTGCTTAAATAAGACGTCAATTAGCGCAATATTTTCAATTTTATCCATTTTTCAAAAAGTAAAATTCTTTGCTTCTAATAAATACTTATTTATAAAAGCGCTTGCCCGAAATCTTAAAGAATAATGATAGTGGAAATCCCATCATTCTTTGCCAATCTTTGAGAAACGCAGACACAAAGAATGTGACCATATACGCAGAAATGTTAATGCGAATAATCTCGAGAGCTTGTACCAAACTTCAAGATCTCTCAGGTAGTATAATGGTTACGTTACTAATTTACTTTTGGTGCAAGTTTTTTTATTCAATACGTTAACCCAATTTTAAACAAATTCGAAGAACCAATTCTCATACTAAGACTGCGAACGGCTTCCTCAAAACTATTTATTATGACGGAACGTTTCGATTTAGCAAATCTTTTAGATTATGTGTTGGCAAGTGCAGTGCAATTTGAGAAAGCAATTAGTGAAAATAGTATGTATAGTCTTTCGAATTGAATATTAGTTGTATGTTTAATTGTACTCTTTCTTACAATGTGTACTATTAGCCATGTATCGCGAACTATTAAATTTCCATTGTGAAATTTCGACATTGATTAAAGTTCTCATACATGAAGCTATACAACAAATTAAGTATTTTAAATGGTTAGACCATTTTGCCCGCGTGGCACGGCTGGTAGGCAATAGTTATTTTTGCTTTCATACTACTTATAATAATTGCTAATATAAACTTATGAATTCATAGGTTAACGATCGCTCGGAAATTATCTCAAGTTATGAAGATACCATAAATTTGCTGATCAAACGCGTGAAATTGGAAGAATCACATAATTGTTTAGCGGATACTTTACGTATTACCGCACTGAAAATCAATGTTTTTTCTTTGATTTTAGAAGAGCTTTCATGCATGCCCAGATGTAAAAATTTTAATAACCTAATAATTGATGTAATTGATGTAGTAAACTTTGTCTTTACTCTAGTTAACCAAATTTTAATTAGATTCTGACATATTGCCGAAATTAAAACAATTACAACAAGATCTGCGAAATATTATTGTTCTTATTCCATCAAATATACAAAAGACTGAGCTATCTAAGGAAGAAATATGTGCTAAATCACAATTGTTTAAGGCGGCTGAATCATTAAGGCGGCCATTGTGTAAAATTGTGGAATTCATGGAAGATGATTCTAAGAGCAAATCAATGGGGATAATTTGTACTGTTATTAAAGAAACCATAGAAGAAATTGCTTTATGTTTAGATATAGTATGCGTCAATTTTCACCAATATAAGGTAGGGGCAATATCTTGCAATTCACTTCAATAGTATGGATTAAAAGGGCATCATTATGTGAAATTCCTTTTCAATTGAATTATAATTAATAGTACGTATTTTACTGATTTTGGCCTATTTATAGAGTCATTTGTCTCATAAAAATTCAGAATATATAGATCCAGAAAAAGCTTCCCTAATTGCTATCAGTTTATATGAAGACCTTTCTAGGTTCACACTTGCTTTCTATAAAACAAGCTCCTTAAGGACATGTATTTGTTATATCGAAAAAGCACTTCAAATTGCACATAAAACTTCTTGCCATGAAGGGCTTCTGTGGATCTCTAATTCTTATTATCGAATAGGTGCCTTCTATCATAACAATAATCAAGCTCAGCTTGCGATCGAACCGATACAAAATGCATGTACAATTTTGGACAAATATATGTGTAAAATACAACAGACAAGTGATAGAACTTCAAAAAGTATGGTGGCAATTCAGGCACAGTTGAGCAAAAGGTATGAAGCCTTAGGAGCCTGCTGGAATATATTGGGTGAAACCAAGGTTTGTAGATAATTAATTGATTTTGAATGTTCACCGAAGAAATACTTTCTAAAGAGACGCATTCTTCTATAAAATTTTGATGATAAGAATGCTCGTATTTCATTTGAGAATTCTCTTAGATGTTTTCCGAAATGTGAATTAATTCACCTTTCGGAACTGGTTTCGACACAAGGAATATTTTCTGCGTTTCAACAAGTATCAACTGTTTCAAAGTTAATTGAACGCTATATTAAATTGTCATTTGTTGATGATCTGGACATCAATGTTTCATTGCCACACGAAATTTTGTTAGACGATAATATAGAATTAGCAGGACTAATGGAATACGAATTGCGTGTGTTAAAAGCATTTGAGGATAAACTGAGCGGTTCAAAAGTAGAAGCACTATTAATTGAAAAACTATTGGCATTATATTGTCGAGAGGAATTTCCAATCCGCAGGGCTAGGTTTGAAGTTATTATAGTCATTTATTTCAAATTACATGTTATTGATTTTCTTAACATGAATTAAAAAATAGGGTATTAATCGAAAAATCCAAAATAATGAGGTATAAAGAAATAAATATGGAAATGACAGCTATGGCATTAGCTGAAGAGGCAATAGAATTATTAAAATCAGATGTAATATTCTTTTCATCATTTCAGTTTTTTTTTTTTTTTTTTTTGATTTATGACACTTATTGTAATTGTAGAATACAGGACAAGATGCATTACTTTCGCACCTTCGTCCACATTATTTAGCCATTGCATATTCTTGGATTGGCATCTTGACACTGGAATCTGGAAAACAAGCTATTAGCGCATTTAAGCGTGCCTTGATTATTTGGAGAAGTATTTTAGCAAACATTCCTCTATGTTTTGATGGGAATACTGCCTCGCAACATGATATTGAAAAAACTAAAAAAAACATTGATGATGTGGAAAGATTCTACGGACATCTTCGTATCCTTTAATTTTAAATTGTTTGTTCTGATAATTCGAATTAATTTTATCCTTGACTTTATACTAAACATGTTAAGAAATGCTGTCTGATTTTTTTGGAATGTCAAATCAGCCGATCAATCATATTTTGACATTAAAGCTGATGTTAGGACTAAACAATGGCATCAAAGATGATGTAAAAGATCCTTATTCGGGTATATTTTACATGACTTCGTCTAGCATTTAATTTTATTATTTATTTATATGCTTATTTATTTTAAATAGATTCAGTAGCCTTATACATCCAGATTGGTAAAATTTACCTTAACCTTGGATATACGGGTAAAGCTGGATTGGCGTTTTCGCAAGCAAAAATCATTCTTGATTCTCATAGATGTGTCGATGATGTACATTTGTCATGGATGTTGGGATATAGTTATTACCTATGTGCCATTGGAAACATGGATAAAAGGTTTGATTTTCACGATTATGGATGTTATATTTTTTATTAAGTTGAGAAATTAATTGTCTTCAATTTTTAGCATTTTGATTTTTAACCAGACAAAGCCCTTTGCTGATCGTAGGATTACCCAAAATGATGCCCGCCATAGAAAACATGAACAGTGTTTGTTGGCGGATGCTTATTTGACGCGCTCATATATTTCAATACGTTTGGTAAGATTCATTTGAAGAAATATAAGTAAAAGTTCAGATATTTATTGTGTGTTGCACTTTTAAACCCATTTATATGCTGTGCAATAAATATGAGCATATATGAGAATATTTAGTGATTGATATTGAAATAACCAACACAATATAATGTATTTATTATATTAGGGTATCTTGGAAGATGCCATTGTTTACTGCACAGAGGCCGTACGACTGCTTAACAGGTTGATGAAAAGTATTAATAAAAGTTCAAGGTGTTTAAAGGATCAAATGAACGCAACTGTCAACCCGTTTCTTGTTGACGATAAAGCAGCAGACGAGTCTAATTTAGCTAAAGATGAGAATCATATCGGCGGATTTTTGACGTTGTCAGCTCAACGTTTGCAATGGCGTGTAACTAATGTATGCTATTATAATTTAAACCATTTTGTTCTTTATAATGGTTCTGGTGAAATTAATGACCAAGAGCTAATTATCAATAGAAATTTCTTGAATGTTTTAATCAACTTGGTCGGCTCCACATATTGCGCGGATGCGCTAAAGAAGCAGATTATTTTTTCAAAGAGGCTTTAAATTTAATTGAAGTTACAAAAGCAAATTCTGCTATGAGTCTTTTTTTACTTAACATCGCTGAATTAGAGTATAGAAAGCATTGCTGGAAAGAGAGTAAAGAAAAATTGGAAAAAGCATTAGAGTATCAACTGAAGGTGAACTAGTTTCTTTATTCATATTACAAATATTCATACGAAATAATATGTTGCTGATGTACTTTATATTAGGTCGATATTTTTCAAAAAGAAGTTGCTTTGGCGAATCTGTGCCTGGGTGACTTTAAGCATCGAGAAGGCGATTTCAAATATCTGCAAGGAGATTCCAAATTTCAGTTGCATTGTTATAAATCTGCATTTGAATGCTATCAGCACGCAAACAATATTTTGGCTGATATTATGAAAGAGGATTATATAACGAAGCTTGAACGCACGGATGCGAGGTTTGATTATTTAAAATCTTCTAAGACCTTATAGATCTATTTGGGCCTTTTCATCTATATAATCAATTTGTAGCATATTTCAAACACCAACGTGTAAAAAATTTATAACAGATTATCCAACTAGCCCAATTACTAAAATTACAGGTGATGGTAAGAATTTGTATGTCCTAATTTCAGAATGAAATATTTTATAAATTTAGTATAATATTATGCTTGCGATGATTATGCTACAGGTGCAGTTCAGTATGAATGCTTTTTACTTTCATACATGAAAAGCGAATTGCTTCGTCGTCAAGGTTTGAAATGCATAAAATATATATATATTTCAAAACAGCTATGATTTTAAATATTTTGCTGACTTTAGGACCATATTGGTATAGGTTGGGTGTTAAGTAAGCAAGGGAGTGTCAGTGAGGGCATTAAATTGATTGAACTCAGTTCATATTCAAATCAATCATGCCTTGAAAAGGTCAATTAATTTTTTATTTTTATTTTTAATAATTTAAATATTTGGATAAACATGTTTGTCAAATGTTGATTATGTATATTACAGGCAGAACACTTATTTGTATTGAGCAAAGCTCATATTATGAATATAAATGATACACTAATGAACCAAAACCGTTTGGTGTTTGATAATGTTCGAGATTCTGGTAAGTATGAGAATATTATGTATTTTTATTTTTAAAAGGATTTTTTTTGATTGTCTATTGCATTCGAAGTACTTTCCCTTCCTTTGATGGGAAAAGTTAACAAAAAAAGGCCACGAAGAGTATTTAAATCAAAGGCAGAGATTTCATCTAATCTGCTCCAGGAAATTGATCAAGTGATTGAATATTTAACAAAAGTTTATGATCTGGCCTATGAATGTGGTCCAACACAGCTATTGCAAGAAACTTCATTGAGTATTACAATGATGAATGTAATCAAATCTTATGGACAAGATCAAAACCTTGATCAGTCTGAAGTGGCAACTATGTGTGCTTATTATTTGGGTAATTCTTAAATTTCAGTTCTCTAGAGCCAATAATTGAGTTATTTACATTCAAAAATTTTTTATTGTTCTTAGAAATGACTAAAGCACTTACTGCTAAAAGACAAATGATTGCTAAATTGAATGAAAAGTTACAATTCTCCGTGACGTATGATGATATGCAATGGCCAAAACAGATTACAACATCTGCATGCTTAAATGACATCAAAGATTGTGATAATGATTCAAGCGATGAAACTGATTCTCAAAGGGATTTTTTAAAAACTTTATTAAAGCAATATACGAAAGAATTATCATTAACTTATGAACAGTTTCAATCCGAATTCTTGGACATCTTGCCGCATAATTGGGTTGTTTGTTCGATTTCTATTGATATTGAAACGAATGATATGTATATTTGTCGATACCGAAGAAAAATATCACCCTTATTGCTAAGATTGCCCTTGAAACGTCAGTCGATCAGAGAAGGTGATGAGGGTGGCTTTACCTATAGTGATGCGATTAAGGAATTCAATGATATACTAGAATTGAGTAATCAAAGTATGCGAGCTGGTAAAATGTCACAGAATAAACATGAAAAGGTAGAATGGTGGAAAGAAAGGACACAATTGGATTTGAGGCTTAAAGAATTGCTTGATAATATTGAGAATTATTGGCTTGGTGGTTTTAAGGTGACATTATAATTACCTTATTTATATATGTTTTATATTGCATTTTCAAATAATTTCTATTCTAATTGTATATAGGGAATTTTAATGGCAAATACACATCATGATCCCAATCAAATTTCTCGTTTTAAAGAAAAAATGGATAGTATAAATTTTAAATGTGATGTGCGCAAACTGTCTGTTAAGCATCAAATAAAAAACAAGCTTGATATTGATGTAGAATTATATAAGTCGTTACTTCGTTTAGGTGCATATCCCAAAGATGAGGATATTGAAGA